GCCATCGCTATTAGGTTAGAGGCCATCGCTCTAGGTTGGAGGCCATGGCTCTTAGGTTGGAGGCCATCGCTTTTAGGTTCGAGGCCATCTCTTTTAGGCTGGAGGCCATCGCTATTAGGTTACAGGCCATCGCTCTAGGTTGGAGGCCATCGCTCTTAGGTTGGAGGCCATCGCTTTCAGGTTCGAGGCCATCGCTTTTAAATTGGAGGCCATCGCTATTAAATTGGAGGCCATCGCTATTAGGTTAGAGGCCATCGCTCTAGGTTGGAGGCCATCGCTCTTAGGTTGGAGGCCTTCGCTTTTAGGTTCGAGGCCATCGCTATTAAATTGGAGGCCATCGCTATTAGGTTTGAGGCCATCGCTCTAGGTTGGAGGCCATCGCTCTTAGGTTGGAGGCCATCGCTTTTAGGTTCGAGGCCATCGCTCTAGGTTGGAGGCCATCGCTATTAGGTTAGAGGCCATCGCTCTAGGTTGGAGGCCATCGCTCTTAGGTTGGAGGCCATCGCTTTTAGGTTCGAGGCCATCGCTATTAAATTGGAGGCCATCGCTATTAGGTTAGAGGCCATCGCTCTAGGTTGGAGGCCGTCGCTCTTAGGTTGGAGGCCATCGCTTGTAGGTTCGAGGCCATCGCTCTTAGGTTGGAGGCCATCGCTCTTAGGTTGGAGGCCATCGCTCTTAGGTTGGAGGCCATCGCTCTTAGGTTGGAGGCCATCGCTCTTAGGTTGGAGGCCATCGCTCTTAGGTTGGAGGCCATCGCCTTTAGGCTGGAGGCCATTGCTAGCAGGCCGGAGGCCATCTCTAGTAGGTTGGAGGCCATCTTTAGTAGATTGGGGGCCATCTCTAAGAGGCCATCGCTAGTAGGTTGGAGGCCATCGCTCTTAGGTTGGAGCCCATCGCCATTAGGTTGGAGGCCATCGCTAGCAATTAGGTTGGAGGCCATCGCTAGTAGGTCTGGAAGCCAAGAATCCATTGTGCCAGGGGTGTCTTCGTAGTTTTCCTGCGCTGCAAAGGCCACACCTGTATTGCCATCGTCTCCGAGTGAGGTATCCTAGTGGCTGAAGTTTGTTCACATGACTGAAGTTTGCAGTGAAGATTGTCTCCTGTTGCTTTCTCTTGTCTCCTAGGCTACTCGTCTTGCTCAGTCCCAATCTCTTCTATGCAGGCTGGACTGGGCTGAATTGGTCAAATAACATTTGCTGATTGCTTCTGGCAGGTTCCCTATCGCTATGGTTGAGCAGCTTGCGACTAAGAGGGAGAGCCAGCAAAGCTGCGCTCAGTAGGGCTATGTTTTTGCCGCTTTTGTCTTGCCACTTGCAAGATATTGGAGTGCAAAGTTCACTTACTCTCGGTTTCCTGAGCTGATGCAGGCAAGAAGCATTTGAACTTATGTTACGGACCTACTCTTCACTGCTCTTGCCTGGAATCAGCACATAATATTTGATATGCCAATGCTCGCAGCATTGTGCTTCCCTATCTAGTTGTGTACTTCCTACCATGGAGCAGGCATTGGTTGAGTCTTAGTGGGAAGCACTTGTCAGTCTTCAAGAAAAAGAACGCGATATGTTGTTATTTTTCCACATCGTGAGAGAGAACAATGCAGCTTTCCGCTGTCGTATTTGATCGTATTTGCAAAGGCCCAAGTGTTTCAAGGTAAATCAAGCACCTTTTTTAGGTAGATCAAGGCCTTCTTTTAAACTCCTTTTGCTCAGTTCGCACAGACAGTGACAGGCAGCTATTTGCACCATGCCATCTGTGCAAGTTCGCGCGCTTTCTGGCCGGGTGCTTTGGGGCCCCAAGGTGCGCTTTGCAAGGCTTGACTAGGAACAAGAACGCTACGAACGGAGCAAAGGGCATCGCTACTAGGAACAAGGACGCTACAAACGGGGCTCCTGGCCTTACTACTAGGAGCAATGTTCGCTACTAGGAACAAATGAATATTTGCTCTTTTGTCTTTTTGAACGAGCAGATGATGCAGGTGGTATTTGCTCTTTTGTCTTGCAGGACCTTGATATTACCATATCGTGCGCTAAACTCAAGGAAGATGTGCTGACATCTCTGGGTGAACGTTTTCCAGTAGCTTCGGCCGCAAGCTTGCTTTGCATTTTTGCGCAAAATGGTCCATCACTTGTCCTTGTGCATGCTAGGCGCCAGTTCAGCTTCTCGTTGAAGACATGCAACAAAGATGCAGATGGCGCATTCAGTTGTCAGGTTCACATTCTAAGCTTGGGTTGCCATTGAACAAATGCAAGCATTTGTTTAATCCGTGTTCAAAGAGATTGTCGATTCAATCCAATGTGCCTGCCAGCCGATAAGTAGGCCAGCGAGCTGACTGAGGCTGCTGCCAGAGCATGGGCGATTAGAGACTGTATTGCCATTTGAGAAGTACCCACAAATGGCCATTGAGTTGACCCTCGTGGTGAAGCCACAAGCACACAAACCTTCCGAGCCTTTGCCAGGGTTGTACGTTTCGGAGCTCAACAATCATCGGGTGACTCGATGGCTCAATGCTTCCGCTGAGATTGTGATGGGTGGATTTGGACGAGGTTCTGAAAGAAGTCAGTTGGCTGGACCACGAAGTATTGTGAGTGGTGCAAATGGTGCTATTTACATAGCTGAGATTGGCAACCAGCGAGTGTCAGAATGGAGCTTGCAGGGCAGAGGTCTTGCTCAATACGTCAAGACGATTGCTGAAAACACTCCAGCATGCAGTTTGGAGGAACCTGGTGCCATTTGTGTGGACAATGATGGACAGCTTTATGTTGCTGATTCCAAGGCACATGCAGTGAGTTGCTGGATTGAAGAGAACACGAGGATTGAAGGGAGGATTGTAGCTGGTGGAAAAGGTCCTGGAGATGACTTGGATCAATTAAACCGACCAACCGGCGTTGCTATAGACGACGACGGGACTTTGTACATCGCAGAATTTGGGAATGATCGTGTAACTCGCTGGGCTCCAGGTGCCAAGATGGGTGAAGTGGTTGCTGGTGGCAATGGTTGGGGGGACGACTTGGATCAACTGGCTGGCCCAGTGGCATTGTCTTTGCAGGGCAGCTCGAAACCACGCACCAAAAAACCGCACGACACAGCATTTGCCATCCTGGTTTGTGAGCTAGGCAACAATCGAATCAGTCGATGGTGGCCAGGCGAAAGACGGTGTGAGGTTTTAGTTGGGCATGGAACACTTCCAGAGCTCATGGGGCCCCAGGAGATCTTTTACAATGACGAGGATGGCAGTATCTTTGTCAGTGTCGCTTTGCATGGATCAAACCATTTCTTATCCACAAGAGTTTCTAGTGGCACTTTTTTTCTTATTGCCTGCTCCTACGTACTTGATTAAGTAGGCACCTATTTAATTAATTAATTAGATAAGGGAAAACACTCCTAGTTACTTAAGCTACTAGTATGGACGCAGGATAGCTTCCTTGAAGAAGCCCTCGCACTATTCATGTGGTTCCTAGATTTTTAGGGAAACTAAATTTTTGGGCCGAGGCTGTGGTCGTGTTCGCAGTCATGATTTGCTGAGAGCTGACACAAACAAACCGAAGCCAAGGAAGCCGGCAGCAGCCGTGTAACGTGCTGGAAACCTGGTGCGCACTATGGACAGGTCGTTGCAGGTGGAAATGGTCGAGGAGACAATCTGGACCAAGTGAATGGACCATTTGGTGTTCTTTTGCTTCGATAGTCTGTGCACTAAAGCTAAAGCCAAAGGTCCAGACAAGGAGCAGAAAAGGCTATTCCAGTTGAATTCCTTTGGGTGAGTCGCGATCCGTTCCTTCCACGCACTTGATACAGGTTGCACTTTGTCCAATATGATCAGATATGATCAGTATAATTCATACCGTATTTCATTCCAGCGCCAATCGATAATTTGCTATTTTGTCCTTCCAGCACCGAAGACCCCTTCACCAGGCAAGTTCTATGTATGGACATATTGACCAAAAATCATAACAAGAACGCTTGCTGAGCCAAAACTGATGACGTCGGCAATCCTGTTTCGGCACAGTCACTCATTTAAAGACTAGCGGGGGCGGAACAACAATTTTGGGATACGCATTGGGACATATGGTTTGAGGCAAAGGAATTGACGAAAAACAAATTAGAGGAGAAATTGACAAACAAACGTTGGGACATTGTTTTTTTTGCAACCCCAGCGTTAGTAGTGGTTGGGAGGCCGTTTCTTTCTAGGCGGGAACGGGGTTTGGGTGGGATTTGGATAGATGTTGCGATGATTTTGGCTAGTTCTTGTATTGTGGTTTATGGGTAATGATTAAGGTTATTGGATTTGAAATTGTTTATTGGTTGATGAATTTGATGGTTATATATTGTGTCTGATTCTTTTGAGAGGTCAACCAATCTCGCATGAGCACAAATCGAGAAGTGCACCTTTTACCGGACCTTTAGGCCCAAACCGAAAAAGGAGTTTTTGCTTCGCATGGTAGCGGAGCGTGGCCGTATTGAGCCCGCTCCGTTGCCCGCGCCATAGCACTACGAGCACCACGATTACCACGACTCGGTGCACGAGGAAGCGGTCATCCGGAGGGGCACATCCGATTTCCTTTTGGCTGGTCGAGCTCCTTTTGTTGAGCTGCATCGCAGGTGGCGCTGGAGACTCTTGGACAAAGGAGATCTGCCACTACCAGCCACCACAGGTTGTCGCCCAGCATCGAGGGTGGAAGGTGCGACACGTCCACAGCATTGAAGTGGACACAGAGGGCTGCGTGGGCAAGCTACAGTGGGCCAGGAGTACCAGTGCAGTGAAGGCTTCACTACTGGTACGAAACAAAGTGAAGAAGAAAGGAAAAGGATCCAGGGAGAGGAAACAGCTGGTGGTCATCGTCCCGGCTAAGTGGAAGCCATTGAAGAAGGTCGAGAACCTACGAGATCAAGCGGACAAGGACGCAATCAGTGACCTGGTGGCAAACTGGGACTTCAAGAAGTTGCTGACCTACACCAACCTCGAGATCAACGAGGAGAAGCAGGACAGTGAGCCCTACGCGACATCGAAGACCTACTACCCCAAGGTGGCATACATCCACACCATGGCTGAGGAAAGTTTGAAGATGATTTCAACGGCCCTTGAGAAGCTGACGGTAACTCAAAGCTCGAGTTCATGGGCCAGACATCTGAAAACTCCAGATTTGTTCAAGCCCGACACCCGTGACAACGAGTTGAGGCAGTGGAGTGACTGGAAGTTTTCATTTGAGAACTACGTGAAGGGCATTGATGCGCCCATGGCCTACAGCATGAAGCTCGTGGAGGACAACCTCAATGGGAACTATGAGCTGGATGAAATGACAGACGAAACAAAAGCCCAAGCCATTCGCCTCTACAGCCTCTTGATCTCCTACCTCCGCAACCGACCTTTGAAGTTGGTGAGGCATATGAAGCAGGAAAACGGCTTCGAGGCATGGCAGCGACTCCTACGAGAGATGCAACCAGTGACGAGGGCCAGATCCCTTGCACTTCTGACACAGCTGTCACGAGTCCAGTTCGCTGAGGGCAAGTCGATCTCAGAGCAATTGCCCGTGTACGAGTCCATCGTGACTGAGTATGAGAGGATTTCCGGGCATACATATGGAGATGACAACAAGGTGGCATCGATTTTGCAGGCCGTCCCGGCTCATCTGAGGTCACATCTCCAGCTATGGATCACCGACAGCACGACCTATGAGCAGTTGAAGAACAAGGTCATGGAGCTGGAGGCGCTGGCAACCAAGTGGGACAGCTCGAATTCCTTGAGCCTGCCCACAAGAATGCCCTTGGATGAGGCGGTTCCCATGGAGGTTGACAACATCCAGAAGGGCAAGAAACAGATGATCAGCACTGGCACAGGTGATGGAGATGAATGCCTGGTCGCGCTGGATAGCGGCCCCGATGTCTCGGTACTGCCCAAGGCCTATGCTGAGGTGGGCCAATGGGCACCAGGCTCAACGAGCTTAAGGATGGTGGACGCTCAAGGGAAG